AGTTAGAGGGCAATACTTTCTTAGTGGCTATGTTAGTCCGGGCTGTTTAGAACAGTGATTCTCACTCTTCCTGGTGCTGTGACACTTTAATACAGTTTCTTATGTTGTGGTGGCCCCAACCATAAAATTATTTTCATTGTTACTTCATACCTGTACTTTTGCTACTGTTCTGAATCGTGATATAAATATCTAATACATGATATAAATAGCTGATACAAAGATATCTGATATGGGAACCCTCCTAAAATGGGAGGGGGTTGTGACCCACAGGTTGAGAAACACTGCTCTAGGAGACCATGACCTATGACAAATCTACACAAAGTCGATTTAATAGATTGGTTTATACAACACGGTCTGGGTAGTTCAATAATGGCTGTCTGTATACAGATGAAACCAAGACCTATGTAGCTGCTTAGCCCCAAATGCTGACTGTCTCAGCCATCCCAGTCTGGCACAGCGGTCAGTGGTGGTCAGCCCACATTGAAAGGAAGCTGGGTTCCAGTGTCAGCAAATCTGGCAGCAGCAGTGCCAGCAACAGAATGGATGCACTTGACAGCAAGGGGCAAAGGTGGTCAGGAAGAAAGCACTAGCTGTTCCCTCTGACCTCCTCATATCTGGGCATCTGCTGGAAGGTGCCACCAACATCAGGGAAGTGTCCTTATGGCACCCAGAAACACTCTCACTGCTCTACCCAGAGGTGTGTCTCTCAGGTGATTACAGATCCGATCAAGATGACAACCAAGCCGAGCTATCACAGTGGCCAAGCTAAGATTTGTGAAGAACTAAGCTGCTACTTGGCCCTCAACTATGCCTCAAAGACAATGTTGTTATCTGCCACTCTTCCTTAGAATGCCAGTTCCTGGGGCAGAGGCTGAGGGGAGTCCTGTGTTGCTCTGTTGATGTTTGGGTAGGCTATGTCAGGAGGAAGAATCTCTGGTAAAGGCATGGTTATGCCAGAAGTGGGCAGAGAGAACTTGAGGGCAAGCAGGAGGCTCGATAAGATCAGCCACTATAAAGACTGCAGCTGGAAACTTTCTCAGAGTTCTGAGAAACTCTGGCAACTTCTGGAGGCGTGAGTCTCCTTTCTATGCTCTGAGTTTGTGGGGTTAACCCACCATGCTTGCCTTCCTTTTGATAGACTTTTATTCTACTGTTCAAGAATCCTCATTTATTTAAAACTATTATTATATACTCTTTAAGGGTTTTATATGTGCATAAAATGTCTTTTGATCAGCTCCCCCACTCTACCTATGCTCCCAGGCCCTTCCACATCTTCTTTAAGCATCATGTCCTCTTTTTAAAAAAATTCTTTAAAAATATACCTCACTGAGCAACCCAGTTAGGGCTGCTATTGTGCACATAGCGGTGAGGCTATAGTGGAGTGTGGGCGTTGTACCAGGGACCATACTCAGCTGATGAAAAATGACTCTCCCTTCCCTAGAAGCGATCATGAGCCCTGCCCTATCCATGCTGAAAGCTTCAGTGATTTTCTATTGTGCAGGCAACTGTAGTTGTACTACAGCAGAGAGAGAGAGAGAGAGAGAGAGAGACAGAGAGACAGAGAGACAGATAGAAAGAGACAGACAAAGACAGACAGAGGGAGAGACAGAGAGAAATCCCATATGGGTACATATGGAGGAGGCCAGAGTCTTCCTCAGTAGCTTCTCTACCTTAGGTTTTGAGACAGGTCTCTCTTCGCTGAATCTGCAACTCATCCTTTCACCTAGACTTGCTGTCGAGGGAGTCCTAGGAACTGCATCACTGTGTTTCAACCCTCTTCCAGTTTCTTGTGTGGGTCCTGGGGATCCAGCTCTCTACCCACTGAGCCATGCCCCAGAACACTCAAACACTAGAGCTTTTTCCATGTTCTGCTACTGATCAATTCCCACCCTTTCTATTAAAGAAACCTTGACTGAATTCTAGATAAATTTCAGTCTTCTTTATTAATGTATAACTCACATGTCAAAAAGATAATTTAAGTGTACAGATCAGTTTTTAGTGTAATTTAAGTGCACAGATTCAATCAGTTTTGGTACAGCTGTAGAACCATCGCCAGTTACTAAATGTTTCTATGAACCACTCTGCAATGAAACTTTGTATCAACTAAAAATCCATCTCCCACTCCCAGGCCCCCTAAATCTACTTTCGCTTTCCAGAGATTTGCTCATTCTGCACATTTCATTTAAATGGAGTCACACAAAATATAGTCTTTTGTGTCTGAGATTTTTTTCCTTGGGAATAGTTAAAAATACAGTTCTTTAGTTAAAAAATACATTTATTTATCTATGCATGTGTTTTGTCTGCCTGTATGTATGTGTACCAAGTGTGTACCTGGTTCCTCCAGGGGACAGAAGAGGGCTCTGGTCCTTGAGAACGGGGCTTACTGGCAGTTATGAACTGCCACTTGGGTGCTGGGAAATGAAAATGAGCAGCAAGGGCTCTTAACTACTGAACTTTCTTTCTAGTCTGGGCATAATGTTTCATGTTATGACATAATATGCCCAATATTATTCCATTATCTGGAAATGCTGCATTATGTTTATCTATTTATCAATAAATGGACATTTGAGCTATTTTTGATGCTATTCCTGATGGATTGGTGTCTTCATTTCATTTTGGGCTTGCTAGTTGCAGCATATAGAGACACATAGAGCTTTTACTTTGATCTCATATTCTGCAACCTTGCTGTACTTTAAAAAAAATACCTTTTTTTTTTTTTGTAGATTCTTTGGGAGTTTTCTATTTATAAGATCATGTCATGTGTGACAGAGGCAGTTTTACTTCTTTCCATATGGATGTTTTTCTTCTGCTTATGGCTCCCGTGTCACCTTTCTGTAGTCGGCCGTGATGTTTACCAGTTAAGACTCATTTCCTGAGATGCTCTGCTTTTCCTCTTGTATGCTGTGAATTTCACTTTTAAACTTGAGAAAAGTGATACCAAAAATAGAGAAAAGGGAGAGAGAAACTGAGTGGTTCACGTTTAAAGTGTTTTTTTTTTTTTTTTTTAATACCCTTTGCATTCCATTTCCTATGTTTCCAGCTATGAAATGCTGTCTTTGGGTAAAATGACCATGAAGAAGCGATACCAGGGAGAAGAGGAGGCCATTGGTTCTCAGTAGTTCTGGAAGAAATGATAGGAGTGATGGGCCTTGAAATTGACCTTGGTGGAACAGTATTGTCCCTTTCAGCACCCCCCATACCAGCTTTATTCGCAAAGATTGTTTAGTGTTGTTTGAACTGAACTAAGAATTTGAAAGTATTTTAGATTTCCTGCCCAGAAGACCACTTGGATGCTTTTTGTGCCCTAATGGATGGCATCCACTTTCTTCTCATGCTTGGCCTTCATCATTAACAAGTGGTACTGTTATCTCTCTATTCTCTGTATGGAGGGCTGTAATTTGGCAAGTAGTTATTGAGCAGCTGCTGTATGTAGCAACTTCAATACATGCCATTTTGGGTTAAAAACTGAGGTGGTTGTGTTCGTGGAGGAGGAGGACCCAATGCAAGGAGTGACAATCCCTGTGGATCTGGGTTCTCTGCAGAAGAAAGTTCAGCTGTGATGTAACGTAGGGACAAGTAAAGGAGCTGGTAGTCCCAAAAGGAAACAGAGCTCTATGTAGATGCACAAACGCTGAAGAGAGTGACATGATGAGATGAATGAACGCTGTTACTGACCAGGGATATAGGAATGGGAGAGGCAGAGTCTGTGCTGCATAGATTCTGACGTACTGACAAATAGCTGAAGCTCAAAAAGTTTCTTCAATGCTGTGGATCCTTTTGTCGCAAGAGGATGCCATGGTATACTGTGTTCTGTGGCTTTTAATATTGAAAAGGATGAATAAGATTTTTGTTCAGCTGTTTTTCTTCGCTCCCCCCTCTTCCTTTTCTTTCTGCCCTCCCTCCTTTGTCATCTCCTCTCCCTGTCTCCTCTATTCTCCTTCCCTCCCTTTCCTTCTCCTCCCTCACATAGCTAGGGCCTTGTGCATTTCACACAATTGAGCTACATCTGCAGCCCCACCCTTCTATTTCTAAAGGGTATTTGTTTGCCTCTGTAAATCTAAGATCAGACTGCTCTTTTAGCAATAGTGGTTAGCAAAACAAACAAACAAAATAACACATATAACCTAAAATTAAGACTTCATAGAGGTAAAGTAACGAACTAGAAACTTTCCAGAGCAGGTTGTCTCCACTTGGTCTAACGCCACTTTAATTCCTTCATGAATTTATGCCCTCTATGGCGATTACTTTTCTCTGCCTAATCGTCTTGTGATCTAACTTGTGTGAGGGAAGGAGCCAAAGACACAAACGTGGGAAGCAATGTTCTGTCTGTACACTTGGTTCATTCTGTAACTGACTGTGAACAACCAATTGAGATCACTCACTAACTTCGAACCAGTCTGTACACTTGGTGTGAACACGTCTTTCCTGTGTTGTTTTTTTTTTTTTTTTGTATGTAGATTTGAAAGGCTTAACGTTAAAAGTTGCGCTTCACACAGACTAACAAATACATGGGCAATAAGATAGGAACATAAACAGATGTAGTCTCTGTCCCTTAAAGTTTAAGACTTAATGGCTAAATCAGTTTAGTGTCAGGGGTTTGTGAATCGGAATATAAAAATTGTTTGTTTAGGGAAGTGCATCTCCCACATCTAGCTTTCAGTTACTTATATAGCCTGTGTCTAGAGTAAACTGGAAACTAAGCTGGTGGGTGAACAAAGTTCCTTGAAAGTAAACCAGTTAGAGACCTCCCGCAACACTACAACTCCCAGAATGCTCTGCTCACTCTGCAAGCTAAGGGCGTAAGAACGGTCACAGCACCCTTCGCGCCAGATCAAGACTACAATTCCTACTACCCCCAGAGGCTCCGGAAGCCCTGTTAAGCACCACCTGTTGCCAGAGTATCCGGGTCCGAACCCACCAATCCTGCTGCACCTCCCGATAAGAGGCGTGCAGTTTGCCTCTTGGGCCAACCCGAGGCGGCCTGCTTCTGACACGTGACCGGAGAAGGCAGGCTCTTGGGACCGGCGCCTTCTCCTTGCTTGTTGGGGTCGTGGCCTTGCTCCTGCCAGCCCGGGAAGCGACCCGGCTTTCACGCGCAACTGTGCGCGTGGGTCCTGACGTGCTCGTGGGTCCACGCTCGGGCTCTGCGGGGACAGAAGCAGGAGCCATGGGCGGGACCGCTAGCACGCGCCGGGTCACCTTTGAGGCGGACGAGAACGAGAACATCACGGTGGTGAAGGGCATCCGGGTGAGTGCCTAGGGCGGGCGGAGGGCAGCCCTTGAACTCGGACCCCAACGCTGGGATCGCAGCACCGACTTTCTCCGCTCTTGGCCCGCCTTGCCGTCCCTCTAGAAGTCTGGGTCTCTGGGAAGAAGCCCGTAGTTTCAGGATACGGAATATCCATTCAGAGAAAGTTCTTGGTTGTGTGCCAGGCGCCAGGCAGTGTGCTGGGACAGGTGGGGGTGCCGGGTCACCACAGTCGTCCTTGCTCACTCGTTGCAGGACTTCAAAACTCTTGCCTCTCTGTGCGGTCTGTGCCGCCTGTACGGGACCCGAGCCCTGCTTTTCTGCGCACTTCTCTCTCAGGGTGAATTGGCGTTTTAAGGATTACCCTTTTTTGCCTCTGCCATTCCGTGCCCCTCTTCTGTTGTCACCCTTCTCCCCAACACATACCTGTATTCATGCATTCAAGTCATTCCTGGCCCTGCTGGCTAACTTCTGGCTTCTGGTTCCTTCCCTGCTACCTGATAATGTCGCCTCTCCTGTGGTTTGTTCGCCCAAGTTTTGAACCAGGCCCAGTTATTACAGGCCTACCCTACATCTGCCAGCCTGTAGGGGCGGAGGTCGGTTTGCTTTTCTTCAAGGTTAGTAGAACTAAGGCAGTCAGTTCTGAGGGATACGTTGTAGAGACGTCTTAAATGCCCTCTGCGTGTACTTGATACGTGTACTGACAACTTGAAGTTCCTCTAGGGTATCAGTATACGGGCGCTAACTTCATTAGCACTCTCCTCTGCACCTGACTTTGGAGCTTCATGGTTTGGGAAGTACACTTACTTGTACTTTGTAAATAAAGCATTGTGACTTCAGAAGGTTTTGTAGTAATTCATATCTTCTGTCTACTGTTTTTACAAAACTACTGTTAATCACTTAACTCTGTATGATACTTTTTAGCATCTGTTACAAGGAAATAAAACTTTTAAAAACATTAAGTGTTTGAACACTTTTTCTCTGAAGTTTGTTACTTTGAAAAGAACTTATTAAAGTTTTCTTGATAGAAACTACAGACTGTTGAACTGCGTTTTTGGGTTTGTGACCAGTAATTCTCACTATACTAATTAGTGATAGAACTAACAGGCAGAATTCTTTGTCCTTCAGCCATAGGGCTTAACACAAGCCTCCTTTTTCAAATACATTTAATCTCTGTCGTTACAGTCCAGGCACAGGCAGGCTCATTAGTGGCTTAATTGGTTCTTTTTGTAGTAAGAGAAGAATTACTACAAACTTGATGTTTATAGGGAGATGGAAAAAAAAAGTTTTCTCTAGGTTTTGAATGTTTTACCCTAGAGAGTGAAAACTTAAAAAAAAAAAAAAAAAAGAAGAAAGTAAATTTCAATTGAGAAGGTTTTGTTTAGGAACATGTTTTTGGAATGTGTCCTCATGTTTCAGTACAGACAGGGCAATGAAGTACAATAAACTGAAATAGAGCTTGTACAGCGCAGAGACTTAGATAAAATATAGATAATGCAGAGTGGTAGGCATGGCAGTAGGGATGTGTATTCCGTTCAAACAGTGAGATTGTTTTAAAGAACTTCTGTAAACTTTTTAAAACTATGTCCTGCGGCCATAGGACTTACACAAGCTCCCCGTTCAGATACATTTTATCTCCATTGTTACAGTCCAGGCACAAGCAGGCTTATTTTGATTTGTTTGCTGCTCTTCTGCAAATGCCCTTGGTGGGATTCTCCTTTGCTTCTTGTCTTTTTAAAGACTGGTCTGTAATCTCCCTGAGTGGCATTTGGTTTTCTTTAGGCTGGTGGATTGCAGCATGTCTTTCAGATCTCCATCTTTTCCAGCTCTGAAGTTTCATGAGCTTCTTGCCACTGTCAGTTTTGTTTTTTGTTTATTTTATTTTATTTTATTTTATTTTATTTTATTTTATTTTATTTTTTTGAGAACAAAATATGGCTTGTTGCCGTTTTTTCTGAAGCTGATATGCTGTTGAATTGTGAGGACTTAGAAGTCATTTTGGGTTTCTTGAGGTCATGGACAGGAGACAGCCAACTTGAAATTAAGCTGACATGTTTCATTAGTTTGTGGCTATGGACAAGTCACTCTCTTCTGACACGACCTTATCCGTAAAGTGGAATGTTATTACCTCATTTGCTAAGGTTAAGAGGATAAGGTGTGTAAAACACCTGACGAATTGTAGACTTTTAGTTAATTATTGTTGTTTGTGGTGCTGGGAATTGAACTTAGGTCTTCACATGTGCTAGACATGCACTCTGCCATTGAGCTATATTTCCAGCTTGCTTTGTCTATTTCTAAATAAAAAGTGGTCATTATTTAAGATAGGGTTCCTTTCACATTTAATATTTAAAGTTCTTCGAAAGTGCATTGGAATCAAACCTGGGTTCAGATTTTTGCTCTGTAGGATTTAGTATAGCGTATGGCATGGGCAAGTCACCTTTGATTGTATTTCTCTTTCTGTTGTTTCTGTGTAACTGCATATTAATGAGAATGTGGCATGTGTGTGTTCCTGGTCCTGTGTCTAGGCCTTTGTCAGTATGCACTTACAATTGTAGCTTGGAGGTCCTCAGGAGAGCTGAAGCGTAAACCTATGTGACCCAAAAAGAACTAAACAGGAGAGCATGTTGTGCCCCAAAGAGAGACACAGCAGACTGAGGATTTTGAGGTCATTTGTTCACTGTGTGAGTCTTGTAAATCTTTTAGCTGCTCTTGATGTTTTTCTTGTCTTGGAACAGTCATCTTGTTTGCTTTTCAGGCTTGAGAGCAGTGTTCTTAGCATGAAAGCAAGGTTTTGTCGTTAGGCAGTTGTTGAAACATGGACAGATGAGTCCCAACCTTCAGATGTGGGTTTTATGGGTTTATGCAACTTGGCTAAAGAGAGTTTTTCCAAGTTTGATCAATTTTATAATGTTTAGGATCATCAGTTGAGAAAAGTAAGAGTACACCGATAATTCAGAACTCACTGTTTCGGGAAACCACTTTGTGTTCTGTCCAGTGATGCTGAAGTCTCACCTTCAGTTATCCTGATATAGAAAGAGTAGTGTGAAGTGACCAAGAGAGAAGTCACTAAGTTTGCTGAGTTTATTATAAGTAGATCATAAGTTGCCGTATTCTTGCTGAGGTGCTTATCGTATGTACTTAAAGGTCCTATGATTTGAAACAAAGTCAAGTTTCAAGTTTCTTCTAGTGGGCAGGACTACTTTTCATGGTATTATATATGCTCTTGCTTTTTCCTTTATTCTGAGCAGTTGCTAGTATTCTCTGCTCTGTAAAACAGCCTGTATTCTTATGCCTGTTTTCAATTCAGTCATATGGACTGAATGAAGGATTACTTACTGTCTTCCCTTGCACTCTAGCTCTCAAATAATTTTTTTAGTAACAGAAAAACAAGCACATTTATTATTCACATTACATGCTTAATAGGATTTTTGTGTCCACCTGCTATGCCTGTTTAGAAAGTGTGCTCAGAACCTGGTCTTTCATGAACTTATCTAAAACATCAGAGCTGTGAGTGAACTCTTCCAGAGCAAATGTCAACTTCAATGAGTATCATTTTCAAAGTTATACTTATCATGGTTTCTGACATAACAAATCTCTTCAAGCTGGCCTTGAAGCTGCAGGCTGACATTCACAGGAGCCGTATGCATACCTCTGTGAAACATACTGTGCGTTTTTGCAGATGTTGGCTGTTGAGAGGTTTCCTAATGTGGGGTGCTATAGAGGGTTCTGCAGAGAGTGTTAGCTGGTATAATGCATTTATTATGTTAGCCACAGGGACTTTGTGAATGTTTTAGTTAGCTGATAGAGGATTGGTCCCTCTCAACTTTAAGGGTCTGTGGATGCGTTGGGCCATCTTAAGCTTTTTAGGACTCAGAATACAAGTAACAAACTAAATGAGAACTGAAAACGACAAGTTTTACAGAAATGAGTCTGTGTGTTCCCTGCCACCCCTTCTCTTCTGCATATGGGAGTTGTGCCTTAAAAAGGTGGCGGGGAACCAGTGCTCACAGAAAATGACCTGTTCCTATGTGGAGGAAAGACCAAGAGAGAATATTGTGTCTGTGTTCTTTAAATCAATTTGATAAGAAACATCTAAAGAACAACTATTAGCTGCTGAAGTTGTGAGCTGTTCTGTGTTGTGGCTCCCACCTTTACCACCTCAAAGATTACTTGAGTTTGCCTTTATGAGGGCAGAAGACTTTATCTTTGTTCCTCTTACTCAATCTCCCTTGTCTGAGAAGGAGTTATGGATTGGGTAGTATGTTTGTGCAAATTTTGGATAAGACCAGACAAAGCCAGTGGGAAGAGATAAGTGGGATGACTGGATGATATGTATCATGCTCGGTGGAGCCATGGTATGAGTTGAATGGTGGCCAAGCTTTGCCTGCTAAAGTGTCTGAATAGTGCGGTAGGCAAGGCCTGCAGATTCTGCCAACAGGCTTGCTTATCTGATTTCCCTTTACTGTAATAGTGGTTCTTCTGATAAGAGGCCACTATGAATTTTTGCAAGATATGGACTCTGCCCCAACAACACAGTGAGCACACAGTCTTGTATACATTGAATTAATCCATGGACTTCAAAGTCCAGGGGCCTCTGAGTGCAATTTGTAGAGGGATGTTACTTCATATTTGGTATTTGTTTAGATGGAGATTCCAGAGGCAGCTAGCTGGAAGGCAGGCGTAGCAGATAAAGGTCAGCAAATGGGAAAAGGCTCTTCTAATGGCAGTGCTCTTTAAGAACTGGGGAGTTTCCTCTTACTGAGGCTGCTTGTCTAGCTCCCCCTGAAGCTTATGTTGTACCTTTGACTTCCACCTCTACCCAACATTGGGTCAGTTTTTATCACAGAGAAGAGCACAGCTGTTTACAGATACAGGCTGTGTGTACCACTTTTTCCTGAGTCTTTCAGTCTTGTCTGCTGCCTCATAAGTGAGTGAGATCAGGTGAGGCCTGAGTTTATAGCTGAGCCTGTAGAGCATGCTACTGTGTTTGTATAGCCAGGGACAGGTAATGACCTTTTCAGAGTCTTTGCCTAAGACCATCGGAAAACACAGCTATATACATTACGAATAACAGTAGCAAATTACACTTATGAAGTAGCAATAAAAAAAATTTATAGTTGGGATTCACCCCAACATGAGGAACTCTATTAAAGGTCATAGCATTAGGAAGGTTGAGCACCGCTGTGTTACACACTCCTACCAGCACCCCTACAGATGCCAGAACTCCAGGCCTCATCCTCAGCTAAGGACCAGGTGATGAGAACGAACTAGGTGAAACAAAAACTGTGGCTGTAGCTGTACGAATAACCACTCCACCAGGTAGTTCATGGTGTATATACTATAATCCCCATAATCCAGTGACCAAAACTTTACCTTCCAGACAGGGAACTGAAGTGGGGTGGCTGTCATCTGTTCTGAGCCAGCTCTTTCTGTTTGAAGGGTAACACTTTGAGGTTGCTTTAGGGATTGAAAGGACTTTTCATAGTTGCTGTAGAAAGTAGTCAGTATACATTTTGAAGGGAGGTAGATGGTGTATTTAAAAAACACCAATTCGTGTTTATAGTTGACACTTGAGTTTTTAGCTAACATTGCTGACCAGTTATAGTTGTACATAATTTTAATGTTGTAGTTCTTTGATTTTAGTTTGAAATATAGAAATTAAACTAAATTGTAAAAGTTACTGCATGTATAAATTATATAAACTGATAAGTTTTATATACTGTCTTATGTGTATGCTATATTGGATGTGTAATACAGTATATTGAATTTTGTGGTATTTGTGATAATGATAATATGTAACATGTGGTGGTTTATTTTTTATGTTTATTTGATAAGGATCAAACCCAAGTGTGCCAGGCAAGTGTTCCACCATTGAGCTCTGGCCCCGGCAGTACAGAGTTATATAGAATATATTGTAATGTTAATACATTGTTATGAAATATATGGTATCTATGAATTGAATGTATTATGTATCAGTTAGTGTATATATATCACTTAAATATAATATATATCATTTAAAATAGCTCCGAGCTTCAGAAATAAAGGCCTGTTTTCTTTTAAAGAGGAAATGATGGGCTTTTATTATATATGGGAAGGTTGATGGGGCGTGCTGCTTAAAGGGCATGCAATTAGAAGCTGGAGCAGCCACTGCTGGTCTCTGTGCTCCCTGTAACTGGATTTTTTTCTCAGGGTCATCTGGGAATGGAGAGAGTTGGCGTAGGTATTAACAAAGTTTTTTTTTTTTTTTTTTCCAGCTTTATAGATGAATTTCAAAGGGATATCCAGCAGCTACTGTCAGAAAGCATGACGCTAGACTTGGCATACATGCTTAACTTCCCAGTTCATGGCAAGTGAAGGCAGAAGGATCAGGAGTTCAAGATCATTGTCAGCTACATAGTGAGTCTGAGGCTAACCTGGGCTACTTTAGACTCTGTCTCAAAAAACAAAAGAAGCAAACAGGCAACATTAAAAAAAATGTAGCTAGTGCTGCCAAGGAAGTAGCTCTGATGTAAGCTTGGAGGCCCATGGTTCAATATCTAGAATCACAAAACAAAATAAAGCAACAAGAAAAGATACAGTTGGCCTTGATGTCTCAGGATACACAGCCTCTCGGTATGTTCCTTAGTATGACTGGTCTTCTAAGAAAAGAGATGGCCTTTTTCTCTAAAGAGCACAGTTCTTTAGCTGCTTTTCTCTTTCTCATCTCACTTTTACTTTGTTGGGCCCTGAGACAGAAGTACCAGTTAAGGCATAGGCAGTTTCCAGGGGCCTTGATTTAGTACTTGCTGTATGGAATTAGTTTGTTGAATGAATGACTCAGTGAGATACAGGAACTCAGTGTCATGGAAAGGCAGAGTTTCAACACAAAGGGGAACACTCTGTCACTGGAATATTTGTGTTAGGTATGGTTGGCACAAGAAACCCTAGCTTTGGTAGGCAGATGTGGTTGGATGGAATGCAGAGTTAGTTTGGTGAGTGATTACTTTTGGATGTTCAAACCATATGTTGAAACCCCATCTTAAGGGGTATGTAGGGAAGGCAATGGTGGCAGAGATAACAATACAGCCACTTATGGTTGTAGAACCTGTGGGTGTGAAGTGAAAGGGGAGAAACCAGAAGTTAAGTTTTTTCATGTGGCCCAGACTGGCCTTGAACTCTTGTTCCTCCTTTATCTGCCATGGTACAGGGATTTCAGACATGTGTTACCATGCAAGGCCCTAATTTTTTTTACCCCCTAAGATAGAGTTTCTCTGTGTAGCCTTGGCTGTCCTGGACTCACTTTATAGACCAGGAGGACCTTGAACTGACAGAGATCTGCCTGCCTATGCTTCCCAAAGTGCTAGGATCACAGGCATGAGCCAGTGTGCCTGGCTCCTAAGTATCTTTTGAATGTGTTCCCTATTGTATTACCAAAATAGTACCCCTCCAACAACTTCATTGTAGAATAATTTACATCCCTGGAAAGTTGACAGTTCTTAAAATAACCACTGTGCTATGCAGTAACCTTTTTAGGACATTTTCATAATCTGAGTAAGGTCTTGAGTTCTTTTATAGTTAGTCCTTACTGCACTTTTGCTCTAGATAACTTTGTGTTTTGATGCTTTATTTATAGAATTGTCTTTTCTGGGTGTTTCACATAGATAGACTCAACACAGGCAATCATATTGACCTACAGCTGTAATCCCAGCGCTTGGAAGGTAGATGCAGGTTTGAGGCTAACCTGGACTACATACGAGTTTTCACTCTTGCTATTATGAATAATGCCTCATGTACACTCTGTGCAAGGCTTTGTGTGGACATGTGCTTAATAGCGTCTTAACTGGTTCTTTCTCTTCCAGGATTGTTCTTTTGTTCTTATCCTGCTTCAGTTTGTTGTCTACACTGTAGCCAGCATGGTCTCTGAAATGTAAATCTGATTATATCATTACCTTGCTGAAAATCCTCAGTGCCTGATGCCCCTGAAACTTAGTTTATTAGGCTCCAACTTTGTTTCCTAAGAGTTTTAAAATCTAAAATATCCACCTTTTTCTACATCTTCTCTTTCAGTATGCTCAACCCTCCTCCCTCCTTCCCTTCCTCTCTCCTTCCCTCCCTCCCTCCTTTCCTTCCTTGTAGGGTCTGGGCATAGAGTGATAGGACATCAAAACCTTTACCCTTTTGCCATCTTTTTCTGTAGTGGAAAAGGCAGAGAGGAAACAACAGTGTCAGATATTGGTGAGCACTATCAAGAAAACACAAAAGTATAGTAGTGACCATGCTGGTGGCTCAGATCCACAGGCTGGCATGTTCCCCAGAGTCTCTGGCCTGTTGCCAGCTGCCTACTTCATTCTCCACTTGGCGGTCTAGTGGTGGCAACCGCATTTCTCATCTACACTTCACGTGGTTCTTTGCTCAGTTCATCCATCCCTGTGAGTCTCCTTTGCTTCTCTATCCAAGCCGTATCCCCACACCCTGGATGAATGCACCACCCATTCCATTTGTACAGACTTCCTTTATAGGCTGGCAGAGTCCAGTAGTGCCCTTCATAGCATACTCACATGCATTGGCTCTTTATTCCACTTCTCTCTCAGCAGGTTGGTGGTTTTGAATCTTCCTAAGTCTAGTTTATTGTTGTCACAGAGATAATGCCAAGTAAGAGCTGTTGAAAGTGATTGTGTGTCCTCAACAGGACGGAGGGAGGTAGGAAGGAAAGGAAGAAAAAAGGTGGGGGGAGGAGGGAATGATCCAGCTGAGGTATGTTAACCCATCCATCCATCCATCCATCCATCCATCCATCCATCCATCCATCCA